GGAAAAAAAGCCAGCAGCCAAGGCCAGCCTTAGGGCCAGGAGAGCAGCCGGGCCTTGGGCTGGAGCCAGCAGTAAGGCCAGGAGAGTGGCCAGGGCTGGGGTGGGGGAATATAGCCAGCAGCTGGGGCTGGGACTAGTGGCAGCATAGGAAGTGCAGATGGGCTGGGGCTGGGGAACGTGGCCAGCAGCTGAGGCCAGGGCTGGTGCTGGTGCCAGGGCCAGGGCTGGGCATGCAGCTGGGAGAGGAGCCCTGCACTGGGAGACTAGCAGTCCCCCAGGAGAGCATGAAGTCAGCAGCAAGAGGTCAGGGTTGACCTCCCTGATCCAGCAAACTCCTTCATTTGGGACTCCTTTGGGCCCGAGGGTACCAGACCAGGGAGGTACAACCTACACAGCATCTTACAGTAGAGTGGATCTCAAACTTCAGCAACTTGAAGATACCCCCCCGTTTTGATTTAAAATTATTCATAGACTCCCAAATTCCTCCCTATCCCAGGCCCCATCCTCACTCTATCCACTTTCCTAAGGTCCCACCCCTGCTCATCTTCTTCCTGCTCCCTTCACCCTGCCCCTCTTCTCATACCCAGTGTCCACTTCTCTCCCTCCCTCCTTGTGGCTCCTCCTTGCCATTGAACAGCTATGCTCCTAAGTTTGCTGACTTTCTGATAGAACAAAACCAAACACCCTCTTGCCCCATCCCTTCCCTGAGGACCTGCTCGTTCCCCTGCCCTGCCTCTTCCCCGAGGACCCATTTGCCACTCGCTCCATCCCACCCTCTCTGTCACTCACTCTCCCCTACTCTCGCTCCCTTTCATCAGGCTGGGGCAGAGGGTTAGGGTGTAGGGGTTGAGGGCACAGGCTCCAGGTGCGGGCTCGGGGGTGCAGGGTTGCCAACCACTGAAAATGATTTTTATGGACAGTTTAGCAAAGAATTACAGACAACCAAACTTTTGTACAGACACATTCTTATGTAATATAAAGATGCCTCAAAAGGACAAAAGTGAATATTCAATTCACTTTCAAACATCGCAGCACTAATGTTATTATGCTAGTTTAGCCTACATGTTGACCACATTAGCATAACCATTCATATGCACCCTTTCACATGCTGGTATCCCCTCCTGTTGCTTTTCAAGAACAGCTAAGCCCATGAAGCAGGTAGCAGGCTGGCAGAGGGGGAAGGGGAGAGCCTACAACACAGTCAGCTGGACCTGTAGCACATTGGTCAGCTATAAGGACACAATCCTGTTCCTATTACTCTCTCTCCACCCCCATCCCAAATCATTCCCCCTCTGGGCCTGCCTCCCACCCAGAGAGAGGATGTCCAAGACCTGCTTGCTTGGCTGGGACTAGGGGCTGCCACTAGTGACTGCCGCACTGTGACTTACTGGCAAGAAGCTCCATGTGCTGCCTCCACACCCACAAGTGTCACCCCTGCAGCTCTCATTGGTTGTAGATCCTGACCAATGGGAGCTGTGAAGCCAGGACGTGGGGTAGGGGGCAATGCAAAAAACCCCCCTATGCCTAGGCTGTAGGGACCTGGCAGGGGGAGAAGTTAATCAGTGAAGCCAAGACCTCCATTTGAGAAATGCTGTATTAGTAGATAGTAACAAGCACATGCTACTCATGAGAAAGTAGCTTTGGGTTTTAGTAAGTTAAGATTTTGTAAAAGAAAAAATATAATATCTTCTGTTTCTGACATCTCCTTTAGCTTAGAATATTCTTTAGCAAATTCAATCAGGAATGGGACAGATCCTCAGCTTGTAGAAATCAGCTTAATTCTATTGAAGGCAACAGAGTTCAGCCAATTTACACCAGTGGAATATCTGGTATAATATTGTTTAGTTGCATAAAATGCCAGTAAGATTTACAAAAAGTGTTCAAGTGACTCAATCCCACTGACTTTTTTTTCCCAACAGGATAAATAAAAGCTCATTTAACTTGCAATGGGAATTAGGTCCCAAGGTGCTCAATTAGGTCTCACCGCAGGTGCTTTTGAAAATTTTACACAAATGACTATGATAGAACCATAGTACCACATTTGGGGCATTGTTAGCATTTTCATTAAGCAGAAGTGCATCTTCATTCCTTTTTTAAAACTGATTTCAAAAACTGAAGCTTTGATTTTCTGGAACAATTGCAACATGGGACATGAATTTTTAAAAGATCGTTGAGGAGAAAAGTGTAGAGGATATAGGTTTCATTTGGGCGATAATTATAACTCACCACAAAGAAAAGCAGTGAGGTGGATTAAAAACTTTGTGAAGGAGGATAAAGCCTCTGGAATTTATGTGTGGCTAGGATGTTGTATTCCCCAGTTAGTGCTGCTGGAACTAGTTTGCTCACAATATGGTATTAATACATTTATACTCAAAAGGAAAAGTTTGTATTGAGGCAGACCAATTGTATCTGCAGAGGTATAAAGCAGGTCCAATTATCTGTTCACAGAATTGGCAGAGTAATACTGGTTCACAATTTTTTTATATTATAGACAATCACATAGGAGTGAATGAGAGAGTGAAAAATCTTCTCATGGATCATCTTTCTAGCTTCCCAATCACTTTACCCTCCCTACAGTATTCTCTGTAGTGCTGCTGAGCATGGAGAAAGGAGGGCCCAGTGGTTAGGGTATTAGCCAAGGAGACAGGTGCAAGTGCCTGTTCTGTCACACTTTCTGTGTGACCTTAAGCAAATTACTTAACCTCTTTCTATGCCCCAGATCCCCATCTGTAAAATGGGGGTAACAGTATTTTTACATCTCATATGGGTGTTGTAAGAGAACCACAGAGAGGAGTAAAGCATCTGGCTCCTAATGTGCAACTATGTACTTTCCCTATTTTTTTTTGTCAGCACAGTTTCCTATTCCACCAGTAACCTGTCAATGTTAAAACAGCATTGTGTAGGGGGAATTCCATTATTTCATCCAAACAGCCTCAGAGAGTTTTCTGTAATAAGCACAGAGATTCTAATTTAATATAATTAAAATTAACTGTAAAGTATTTCTTATATTTAACAAAGTATTGAAAAAAGAATAGTTGCCGTACCTCAGAAAAAGCATTCCGATTTGCCTGTAAGCTAACCTTCACTACTTCAAATGGGTTAACCACAACCGCTTCTGTTAATCCAGATCCCAAGCCAGCAACTGCAAATGTCTAGGGAAATTAAATCAATCAATACTTAAAAATCAAGTTTTCATGTGCACTGTGGTAAAATGTGCCATACATCACATGATGAAGTTGAATGATATGATGAAAACAGAGAGACCTACACTAATGCAGCAGTATACCATTACTAAACAGCTTTTGCCCTTGATTAGATGTTGACAGTTCATGAAGAAGAAATTATAAAAACCAAAACCACATTCCAAAAATTCAAAATAAAACGTCAAAGTCCTATCAACAATGAATTCTCTTGAACTGGAAGGAAAGCTGTGTTACTGATTTAAGATGCATACATGGAAAAACAATTTCCCCATGTTATATTTGGAGTTTGAATGCAATGAATAATAATTTTTGGTTTTTAAAAATATAGCTGGGCTGGTAATAGCAAAAATAATGAATATTCTAGGTTAAATGGTGAAGCACTTACTCAAGCAAAATGCCCCCTGGGTAAATTTCAATCCTGATGAGAGGGCTTAAGTTGGATTTAAGTGGTGTAGAAGGCTGGTGCTGGCCCTCTTCACAGGGGTGAATCCATCTCCTTTAATCAAAATAAACTGATAGCGCAGTTTGGCCCTGAGTAAGGCCTATGTTTTGCACTCAGTAGAAGAGGCCATATTTAGAAAAGATGGTTTACTTAATTCTTACTAGATAAACAACAGATACATATCAGAATTGCTAAGAAAATTCAAAATAGTTAATCTAAAGTTGTTTGTTTCTTTGTTTAATCTCCAGTGCCAGCCACTTACAAGGACCCTTCTGCTGCTCTATCATCTTATGCCGACAACACAGTATACTGGAGTATACCGGCTGAAATAAGAAAAGAACCACCACGGGAGGAAAGCAATAGTCAGGAAAACATTCCATTCAGCTCACAGGGGGCCAGAGGGCAGCAGGAGCCTTTAACCCTTTGTTCACTTATTACAGGGACAATCTCAGTCCCAGCCATTCTGCACCCAGAACACTGGTCGTGCTGCCAGTGAGGCTTTACTCCTCACATGGGATGGGAATATGTCTCCACCCTTTCATTATCAGTTGTCAGTCTGAAGCCAAGGGAAAGTGGGTAAAAACACTTACTCTCCCTTTCAAAGGGACTTGCTTCCTTGACACGAGCTCCAGCAGAGGCCTTGGTGATATTCCATCTGCTTCAGCATGAAGGTACATAAGAAACCTTGTCCTTCATCCCCCCCACCATGGCTATGGCATTAAAGACACAACAGAGCCCTAAGTAGAACTGAAAATGATAGCAATGTAATGAAAGGGGCATTATTCATTAAAAAAATTATTGGGATTTTTGTTGTCCAGTCTAACTGCTACACAAATCAAAGCTGTTCTTGGTTAAGAGCATATGCTGAATGTATACTAGTTGGTCTTGGAAAAGGGTGACAATACACCACAAACCAGAAACCTGATCTTTCCACTTGCCAGGAATGCAAATGGCAGTTCTCCATTGTATATTAAGAAGGAGGGTGTCTGCTGACAACATGAAAGGACTATAAAGGACCATAGCACTACTGGAGTGCTTGAGAGGAGGAAACTTCATGTGAAGAAATCCTGCATGAAAAGGACAGCAGAATGTTATGTAACACATGAAGTACTTGAGATAATGATACACTAAGGGTTTCCTCTCACTTTTTTGCACCCTTTAACTGGCACAGTATAGTCTAACATACGGCACTTATTCTTACAAGAGAAGCAATCATATGTTTTCTTTGTCTATCTCAAACTTCCATCCCAGGAGCTAAAAATGTACAAAGAATTCTAATCCCAAACTCACCTGACCACAAAATCTATAATCCAGATGTTCAGGGGTTTATTATTTATTGCATACCCTTTTCAAATATTTCACATATTTTAGCCTGGCTCTAAGCTCAGATACATGGGTTATTATAAACAGAGCACAGGTGTTTCTACAAAGTGTGAGGTGTTTTATGCAATCCAAATTTTAAATAAAGGGAGTAGACATGAGGCAAGAGATTAAAAGTAGAAATACTGAAATGAGATCTGGCTGAAAAAATTCAGACAAAACCTTTTCTCTTAAAAATAGTCTTCTGTAAAAAAGCCATGAAAATTGTTGACATTCTTCATTTTCCTCAGAAAACAGCATTGTGCCCTTTTGTACACTTTTATTGAAAATATTATAGAAAATGATACCAAATTGTTATTGACAACCTATCTATCTATCTATCTATCTATCTATCTATCTATCTATCTATCTATCTATCTATCTACTTTACTTACTATAAAAACACTTACACAGGAACTATCCCTGTAACAATCCCCATTGCCAACTCTATCCACATGCTCAATGGATTTAAAAGTAGACATAGTTCTACAAAAAAAAATTCAAAACCAGATTGAAAGAGAAACAGCAAGTACTGCAATGTATTTGTAAACTGAATACAATCCAGTTAGGATGGACTAAGAATGTAGATTGGTTATCTCACTACAAAGGCAATTTCCCCTCTGGATATTCACAGCTTCTCATCAACTACTGTGAGTAAGCCACCTCCACCCTAGCTGAATTGGCCTCATTAACATTGGCCCTATACTTGAGAAGTAACTTCCTTCTTTTCATATATATATATCTGCCTCTATAATTTCCACTCCAATTCATCTGATCAAGTGGTGAAAGCTTATGCCCTAATAAATCTACTAGTCTCTAAAGTGCCACAATAGTGTCTTTGATAAATATATTTCCAGAAATACCTAACAACAAACAATATTTTGACCACTTTAAAATAAAAACAACTTTGAAACTTTGAAAATCTTTTACAAAACTATTTTTTCCCTTATTTTAACTTGCAACACCTGAAGTTTATTTACTACAGTAACTTACTGATGTTTCCATGATATCACACATTGTACATTAGCTTTTGGACTCTTCCCGTGTATTCTCTTGCCACACCTTCACTTCTGCTATCTGCAGCTCAGCTAGCTGGCACTGTTTTTCTGTTGTATTTCTCGCTGGCATCACACGAAAGTATCTTGATCTGTTTACTTTTGGGAAGGGGGACACCTTAAATGAATGAAAATCCTAATTATATATTTACACTTACCAGTCCTGGTGACAGTGAAGCAAGCCCTAGTAACTTCTTATATTGTTCAAAGGTGAAAAACTGTAAAATAAAAACAATTACTGTTAAAGCTCAGCAATGTTTAGAAAATTTTATTATAAGTTATCCAATTTAGAAAAAAGAGACAATACAGGCCTGCTTCTCTGTTGTCCTGTATCCTCTGTAGTCATGTGGAAAGGGAGTGCAAAATACTACCATTGCACCCACTTTGAACAAGTGAGAATGACTATATAAGCCAGTGGTTCCCAACCTGTAGTCTGCGGATCCCTGATGGTCCATGACGGTACTACAGGGGGTCCATGAAAAGTTTAAAAATAAGGATCCTTACTTTTCCTTTCTTTTCTTTTCCTTTTCTTTTTTTTCTCCCTCAGGAAGGGTGGTCCATGAAATTTTAATAGATTGAAAAGGGGTCTGTATGCTCGAAAAGGTTGGGAAACACTGATATAAGCTACAAGGCAGTGGAGAATCAGGTCCTTCAAATGATTTCATTAGTAAATACAGGCAGTCCCCGGGTTACGTACAAGATAGGGACTGTAGGTTTGTTCTTAAGTTGAATTTGTATGTAAGTCGGAACTGGTACATATTGTAGGGGAAACTCTAGCCAAACATTTCTCCAGAGCTCAGTTTTATTCTCCCACACCTCACTTCCCTCAGTCCTTTATTCTCAAGCTGAGGTGTCTGCTGAGAAAAGCCGCTCCGCGTCTCCCTGGTCTGCTGGGGGGGAGAGGGGGGGGGTGCCTCACCCCGTTTGTAAGTAGGGATCTGATGTAAGTCGGATCCATGTAACCCGGGGACTGCCTGTAGTGCATAATGTTAACACGAATAGAATTAAAGACAATGAGTTACTGTATTCAAGATTAGCAATATACAGTTCTTGTTTTCAGTTTATTAATATTTGCTCTAACAGCTCATTTTCAGATGTTTTTATGCAAGTTACAGAATTATATTAGATTTTTTTTTGAAAAAAATTAACCACGCTATTTCTGGTTTTTTGTCTGATATTAATAGACTTCTCCTCGGAGAAATGCATACTGATAGAATTTGCAGAATGGAAGTTCATGTGTCTTTCTGTAGCCTTCCATTATGAACAGATATTTTTTTACAAATTTCTATCCTCATTTACAAATAAGCCTTGCACAGAACAGTCTACTTTTGCTTAAGGGTCTGGTCCTCAGAAGTACAGAGGATCTGCAACTTCTCTGAGAGTCAGTTTCACAACGAATGCTCTTTTGTATTGCAACTTGAGGGGAAAGATGGAAAATTTAATTTTTCCTGCACCTCCACATAAGGAGCCAGCAAGGAATGAGTGGTACCCATTGCCACCTAAAACGCCCTTTGGATGTTTCACTACACATCAATTGTCCGGTGTTCTCACATTCAAAGACATGTAAGCAGGGGCTGAACTGCTGCTTGCTATCAGCCAGCTAAAAGGAGGGGTGGGTGTGCCCACTACAGTTGTTTAGCTCTACAAGGTAATTAACTGTTAACTGTTGACATGTAAATACTGCTCAGGAGAGAATCCAAGGTGTGGCTATGTAAATCCCATTCAGCCAGGGCTGATGGAGGGTCAGTGTTGGAATGGAATGTGGAGAATTGTATATAATTTGGGACTGTTGTGGGGGTCACTAATCATGCTACCCCTAAATGTGGGAACTGTAAAACATGCCACCAGTGCTTGCAGGAGAGACACCACCATCATGGTAAGAGGTCTCGGAAGAACAAGCCTCCCCCCTTCCAGAGTTGAGTGAACAGAGCTGGGGGAAAGGGTTAAAGGACTTGAGTCAGCCTGCTTCACACCTACCAGGTGTGAGCTATAAGACTGGCCCAGCCTGCACCTTTCCCCCTTTGTTTTAAGGACAGACCTAAAGCAGACTCCCTGAGGAGTCTTTTTGTTTGCTAGTCCAGTGAAAGCTGGATTCATTTGAGAGCTGAAATCACTGGTTTGGCTGAGAGTTGAAATCACTAAGCTGAAATCACTGGTTTACTGTCTCTGCCCCTTATACCGATTGATGCCGTTTACATTATCCTTTCCACCTGTTCACCTTCTTTTCCTCAAGATTAAACAAATAAATATAAATAAAAATAAAGTTGAAACTCCCTTGTAAGAACTAGCATCACAAAGACAGACCAACACAATTTGGCATCTTAGATAAGAAAGAGGATACGGGCCCCTATGGGTATAAAGATGGTCCCAGCAGCACACTTACTCTGAGCATCAATCTACCATTTATCTGCTGCTTGGGTTAGGTGATTGGCCTCCCAAGGTTCCACGGGGACGCCACTTCTTATTCGTCTTTCCTAGGAATTGAGGGACCAGCCCTGGCCTGATACTCTAGAGTCGAGTGGTGGAGTTTCGTATAAGGTGCCCCCTATCTATCCCCCCCACCCCCATTTCTACCCAGGTTGGGAGGTGAAACCCTGTGGGTGAACTTTGGGACTCTGGGTGGCACGGACCAGGGACAGAGACTTTTGGGGAGTTGGACTCTGTGGACTTCGGGCAATTCTTGGCTGGGGTGGGGGCTTGGCTCATGTTTGGGTTATGAACTCTGTTTGTGGTGTTTTCCCCAAGCTAATGCTGTATGAATTCTCTCTCTGTTTCATTAAATGTTCTTTTCCTACACTCAGACTCAGTGCTTGCGAGTGGGGAAGCACTGCCTCTCAGAGGCGCCCAGGGGTGCGTGAATTTCCCAGATCCCTGGGTGGGGCTGGAGCCAGTTCTTTGTGAGATTGACCCCAAGATATTGAACCCAGCCCTGGTTACTGCCAGGCCTCCCCGGCAGAAGGGTTACGGACAGAACAAGTGAAGGGCCTTTTTCTAAAAATATACAGGGTAAAACAGTGATTCCACTGAAGTCAGTGACATAGTTCCTACTGTCTCTAATGGAGACAGGATTGGAGTGACAGATGCCAACTTCTTTGGTGTAGATTCAGAAGGTTCCAAATCATCTATATTTTCCCATATTATTAGATTTGCAACTGTACTGCTGAAATTAATGAAATAGTGTGCCTTGTTGATGCCATCCAAAGTAACTACTTTAAGAATGATATTCTACTGACAGAATGATGTGCTATGACAGAAGAGAACTTTCAGGGATAGAGAGGATAGCAGGAACATAAAAATATTGTAAGTAATAGTCCATATAAGTTTCATGCGTTTATATTTGTGAGAGGGAAGGTAATATGAAAGGCCCAGAAGGACTACCAGACCTGAGACTCTCATAATTATGAGACAAGGGTCCAATACTTCTCCATCAAAGGATGGTGATTTTGACATGTGGCTTTCAGTACTGGGGAAGAATAAAGAAATGAAAAATTAAGGTTCTTAGGGCTTTACCACAGATGTATTCTGGGGATCCTTGAACATTTTTCTGGCTATACCAAAAGAAGAAGAGGAGGAGGAATTTGATATAGGTTGAATCAAGCCACAACTTTATTATTAGATGTCTGAAACTACCTGGCAGCAAAACATGTGCAATGAAGGTAACCCTCCTTTATTTTCTCCCATAATTAATCAGGGGGAGTGCCTTTACTATTTCCCCCTCCACTTTTCTACCCAAGGGTATGTCTACACTACAACGTTAATTCGAACTAACTTTGTTCGAATTAGTTAATTCGAACTAAGCTAATTCGAACTAACGGAGCGCTAATGTAGCGCCTATGAAAGTTAGTTCGAACTAACGGACGTTAGTTCGAACTAACTTTCATAGGCGCTACATTAGCGCTCCGTTAGTTCGAATTAAATTCGAACTAAGGGAGCGCTAGTGTAGCGCCTATGAAAGTTAGTTCGAACTAACGGACGTTAGTTCGAACTAACTTTCATAGGCGCTACATTAGCGCTCCGTTAGTTCGAATTAAATTCGAACTAAGGGAGCGCTAGTGTAGCGCCTATGAAAGTTAGTTCGAACTAACGGACGTTAGTTCGAACTAACTTTCATAGGCGCTACATTAGCGCTCCGTTAGTTCGAATTAAATTCGAACTAAGGGAGCGCTAGTGTAGCGCCTATGAAAGTTAGTTCGAACTAACGGACGTTAGTTCGAACTAACTTTCATAGGCGCTACATTAGCGCTCCGTTAGTTCGAATTAAATTCGAACTAAGGGAGCGCTAGTGTAGCGCCTATGAAAGTTAGTTCGAACTAACGGACGTTAGTTCGAACTAACTTTCATAGGCGCTACATTAGCGCTCCGTTAGTTCGAATTAAATTCGAACTAAGGGAGCGCTAGTGTAGCGCCTATGAAAGTTAGTTCGAACTAACGGACGTTAGTTCGAACTAACTTTCATAGGCGCTACATTAGCGCTCCGTTAGTTCGAATTAAATTCGAACTAAGGGAGCGCTAGTGTAGCGCCTATGAAAGTTAGTTCGAACTAACGGACGTTAGTTCGAACTAACTTTCATAGGCGCTACATTAGCGCTCCGTTAGTTCGAATTAAATTCGAACTAAGGGAGCGCTAGTGTAGCGCCTATGAAAGTTAGTTCGAACTAACGGACGTTAGTTCGAACTAACTTTCATAGGCGCTACATTAGCGCTCCGTTAGTTCGAATTAAATTCGAACTAAGGGAGCGCTAGTGTAGCGCCTATGAAAGTTAGTTCGAACTAACGGACGTTAGTTCGAACTAACTTTCATAGGCGCTACATTAGCGCTCCGTTAGTTCGAATTAAATTCGAACTAAGGGAGCGCTAGTGTAGCGCCTATGAAAGTTAGTTCGAACTAACGGACGTTAGTTCGAACTAACTTTCATAGGCGCTACATTAGCGCTCCGTTAGTTCGAATTAAATTCGAACTAAGGGAGCGCTAGTGTAGCGCCTATGAAAGTTAGTTCGAACTAACGGACGTTAGTTCGAACTAACTTTCATAGGCGCTACATTAGCGCTCCGTTAGTTCGAATTAAATTCGAACTAAGGGAGCGCTAGTGTAGCGCCTATGAAAGTTAGTTCGAACTAACGGACGTTAGTTCGAACTAACTTTCATAGGCGCTACATTAGCGCTCCGTTAGTTCGAATTAAATTCGAACTAAGGGAGCGCTAGTGTAGCGCCTATGAA